AATTAAATCAAGAGTACCTTGTATATAATCCAAGTTTGAACTACTGTCTACTTCAAATTTTCGCTACGTGTAAGCTATAGCGACCCGAAAGAATTTATAATTGCATTAGATTATCTCGTCCTGTGTTTATGATGCTTAATAGCATTTGCTAGTTAACTTTACACAGAAAAGTTATTTATTATGTGGTTTCCGTCCAGTTGTAGTCCAAATCATGCACATTTATGCCTCGTAAGTCGAAAAAACTGTGGAAAGACGTGTTACATGTATACAAGTAATCCCAGTATAAGTCTTAACCAGATACATAGTTGTAATCCCGTAAGTTAAGTGTTACGTAACAATATATAAGCCTTCTGCATTAGTCTTTCACGAAACGACTACTTTTCTGAAGCCCCTAAACTTTGGTTACTTTGATGGTTACCATTTTAACCAGTGTTTACTATATACTTTGCATTCGCTGTTAGCCCACATGGTAAACTATGACTTGACTTCATCACTACAAGTAAGTCACCTCAGTTCCGTTTTCGGTTTATTAACATGCAGTATGGGTTTGGAAAATATCAATCCTACCACTATAATTCTCCAAGAATCCCACTAAAGTATTGATGTATGGTTGTTTTTACACATTCGTACGTTACACTAATAATACCAAATTAAAGTTCAGCATAACTGCCAGTGTACATAAGAACAATTTTATTTCTATGTGATGTTATAACGCATTCAAACTATTATAGTTATTTAACTTTGACACAGTTCTTTCTGTATTTTACGACATATTATTTCCTTCTGGCCGTCATCTGACAGATGATTTCGATACATCAATTAGCTGTTCAAATATTCGATGATTTAAAACCTGTTCAATTTAATCGGTAGTCTGATGACACCATAATTCCCGCGATTCATCAGTTTACGCAGTCGGGCGTATCGTTCATATAAAGATATCACAGGATTCTAGTCGTAAGAACTATAAATCGTTTTGATATATAGAGGTGTCAGGTAAGAAACAGAAAAGCTATATGTCCTGCATGAATATCTACGACGGTGTACCGTGATGAATCTGAGAAGTAAACCGGAATAGAAAACAACAGGTTTCAGAGTAGTATATGTTTATTTCTGGCTAAAATGAGCCATTTGTTAAGGGCAAATTAAGGTTTGAAGTCGATAGAAAAATAAGAAGACAGAGTTGGTCTGAAAAATGTGATGTATTTGTACTACACGTTTCGAACAATCTGGTCACACATATACTTTTCATTCGTCGTAACCCTGAACTTACCATGGTAATCCTAAAGCCATTCTATGACCTAGGATAACACAACAATTTCTTATTTTTATACAATGCAAAATGTGTCTCTCCCCATCGTCACCTTTTTTACTTGAACCTTCATTTAATTAGCCTTCATTAATTTTCATATAAAATGCCCTGACGAATATGTGTGTGACAGGATTGTTCAAAATGTATAGCGCAAATACATCAAAAGTGAAGCTTGTTGTTAATTCTCATACTAACTTTGGGTTTGTTGACTGATTTCTACCAATTAGTCTATCAATATGTAGATTAATACTCAAATATATGTTATTATTATTCACAAACATCATGTGGTTACATAAGTGTTGTGAAAAAAACATTTCGGGTTTCTTCAAAAATGCAATAATACACGAGTTTCAGTAATGTTAGCGTTATATTTGCCATATTTTAGAAAGGAAAGAAAAAGAAAACAATAATAATAGAATAATAATAATAAACCAGGTTCTTTGTAATTGAGAGGAAAATTGAGTTGATTTTAGAGAAGAAAAGAAAAAAATGAAGGGAATAGAAATAAAGAAGACCCGAAATGCGCAGATAGCGTGCAGTGCCGTGTTTCATTAATCGTTTACCTTGATAACCGTTATAATACAAATCTTAAAGGTGCGTAAAATCAGAAGGCAAAGAGAAGCGGCAATGCAGTTTTATTAACAATGACGCAAGCCAGAAAGCTATAAGCACATGAGCAAATATCAGCGAGCATAGCAAAAATGATACGTATTAGAGATGATGGGTAAATCAAAGAACTTTTGTCAAACGTTAATCAATATTTCTAGTGAAATAAAAATAAGTTACAGACATGTGATGAATAAGAAAAGAAGTGTACACACATATGCTCATATAAAAATTAGTCAGGGTTAGTAAGTGAATAATCAACAAGGTCAAAATATGACTCAAGATGGACAGATAAATTGACTTGTCCAGGAGTTAGAATAAGGTATATGAGCTTAACATACCAACCGACACTACAAGCTTAACAAGCGTGTTTATGAACACAGAACAAGAATAGGCGACTGCGTACGTATCGCCAAACGAGCAATAAAACAAAATAATTTACTAAATAAATCACTTATTATTGCGGTAAGATATAACGTTAGAATAAGTGTTTGTGCATCTATAGTTTGGGGTGATGCTATGAAAGCCTCAATTAAGTGCAAAGGATAATCACTATGTATGAGTAGTATATATATGGTGAAGATAAAACGAGTCTGAGAAGTTGATTTAAGGTAACGCAGATTCTTGTCTTAATTACAAACGTTGTAATCTTAAAAAATAATATTTTTTAGAAGGCGAAAGAATTGAGCACCTAGTGAAAAGGTGCACCCATGATAAAAATAGCGCAATCAATACAGACCTCTGAAGTAAACTAACAATTAAAAAAAATAATCCTTTAGTGCACTCGGATAAATACATGTAGATTTATGTAACAGTATACAGAGTAAAACTTGGTATTACCATGAACATTTGTGCAATAATAATTTAAAGTGATGTTATAGTAGTCACAAATAGATGCAAAGGATAACCAAATATAATATATATATATGTGGTGAAGATAAGATCAATCTGATAGGTTAGTTTGTTTAAGTGTAACTCAGGGTAATTTTTTCTTGTTTTCAGCTATGGACTTTGGATGTTTAGGGATAAAATATATTTAGAAGGACAAGAAGAGATTAAAAGAATATCTTATGTGTCGCGGGAACAATAACGATATCAGTAAACAGTTATAAATGCGAACATAAGCAGACTTCATATATCAAGATGAATAAAAATAAAATAGACGTAAAAAGTTTCAAAGGTTTTATTTTGTTCCTCAGTCAATTAGACAGGTGACGGACCTTTCTGCATAAATCATTGTTAAACACGTTAATATTCGGTAGGCGATAGAATCCAATTTCGGAAAGAAAATCATCAGAGAGACGTCTGAACCGGGTTGTATGTTCACGGAAACGGAGGTTCACTGACAATCTGTTGCAGATGGTTGATTAGCGAATGACGCAAACATTCTGGCGTAATTTTATGTGGTTTCCTGGAGTCGCTAAAATATTTTCCTTGTAGCTTAGATTGTGGGATGATATCATAGAGTATGAAGGGGTAGATACCGAAGAGTAGGAAATTCTGTTAATAAATCGGTAGATAAAGTTTAATTTGGTACGCCTGATCCAGAGAGGTTCTAATGTGAGTTGTTCACATCTTTGGTGATAGTCTTTGTTGCCGCAATATCCCAAAACATCTCTGGTGAACCTTCTCTGAACACTTTCAGTTTTTGATCAAGTCATTATGCCTGTAATTACTGTATCGTAATATTGATTAATATTCAGAGAAAGCTTACCAACTCTATCAGTACGAAAAACTGAGCAAGTTTATTTAGGATAAGCTATATAGGTTCATTAACACTCTTTAACAGCATTTGGTGAAATAGTTTGTTGGAACATCAACTGGCTACACAGAGGCTGGTAATTAATATGAGCAGAGACTGAATAATAATGTGATACAATTCTTCATCTTGTTTCTTCATTAAACATTTTACCTTAATTTGAACAGTGGACTATCCTTGATATTTTTTTGTTTGAACGCTACCTTACTAGTTCCCAATCTTCGGTTGCAGTGTGTTTTAGTAGTGCTTTCATCTAAGCCCTAAGTTTCACACCTTACTGAGATACACCATCTCAACTACTACTAGTTTGCAAGTAATTAAGATGGTTATAGATTCTGTGTTAAGGATTAAATATCTACTGTGTCACACTGCTATGGAGTTAATTATTAGTGAAAATTGTAAGATATCGACCAGACTATCTGTAGTTTGGAGACGGTAGCGACAGTTGGTTAACCAAACACGATGAAGTAGAACAGTTAAGGATTGTCAACTAAATGGATAGAAAATAGATAAGAAAATTTTTTTGAACGCTGATAATTGGGAGACGTTAAAATTGATCACGACTTAGAATCCTTTCTGTCAGAGTATCTGTTACCACCTGATTAGCTTCGACGGATGTTCGCTGAAGATCCGCAGTGTTTGAAGTTTATTTGGCAAAGTTATGTTAGTTGTTGGTCTGATATTAACTAAAACGTTGAAAGAGCCAGTACACGTTAAATGCTTGGTTAAGAGTAGTGGTGAGAAAAAGTCACGCGAGAACATAATCAATACGTCATGGAGTAGCATTCCTACGAATCTCTTTCAGTTATAAATTGTTGTCTGCCTGGATGTCAGGTTAATTTATGACGTGATAATACCGCCAATTGGAGAACAATGAATTATCGATCGGACCAATGACGCATAAAACCTGTGCGAGCAGTCTAGAGTACGTATCGGTCCTGCTTTCTGCCTAGCCCAGCCAGTTCAGTCCGGAACACCAATCTCAGCCTCTGCGGTATGAATCATTTATTTCAAGCATACTAGGTTTATATAATGATCAAACAGACCGCATCGTACTATTAAAGAGGAGAACAAGATTAGTGTGAGGTTTAACCAAATGTGGCTGTGAATAAGGGAAATAGTAATTGATAGACAGGGCATAATTCAAGAATGGTAAATCATATAACAATAGTTCATAAAATAAGGCTCATAATAAAGGGGGCATGAATATGAATAGTTTAGTTATTTAGCAATTATACGATAAAAATATATGCATAGTATTGACCCATGAATGGATCCGAAAGTTACCATTCACTATTCTTATCGGGACATAACACTTTCCTCTCGATGTTGTTATCCCGTTGTTTAGACTTGATTTGTTCTTCAAAGGTACGTTCTGGCAAATCCGCATAGTCAACAGTACGATATTCATGTAAGATCAAACAGATTAAATGGTCACATGGTGACAAGTTAGCTGTATTAGATTAGGTCCTTAATATGAAACAAAAGCTTCCGGGGTAAAGAGGAAATAGGGTAAGCGGATTATGGCGATTCATGGCTGGATTAAATAGCTGGAGTAACTTTGACGATAAATTCCACGATGATTCGTGGAATGCTATGCGACTGCATCTAGCCCAAGTGTATGTGGAGGCACAGCGGAGCTCATGTTGACAGGCCTGATGGATAGCCCTGAATGAATGAGAATGAATAACCAGATTCACAGAACTTTTTGATGCAAGATTTTTTGGTATATATGGATTGAAACACAACGCTTTTTACTCACAAATTCTTTTCAAATTGCAGAAACTCGAGTGCTTATGTATTGATGTTATTTCTTGACCACACGATCTTTTAGGCCAAAAATTTGATGACCGAGAAGATTGGCATTCAACGTATAACACTTGAAGTATATCAGAAATGGTGAGCGCATGAACACTTTGTTTGTATGGCATGGCTTCGCTGTGCAGGCGAGGCCAATCTAAGTAATTTCGTTCTTTTCATGTTAAATATATATCACTCTATACCCATCTCCAAAATGTTCTTCAGAAGCCTTGAATATTACTGAATTTCACGATTGGACGAGTCGGCATAGACAATGGTGCGACTTCTATGTTAGGCCATATAGATTAGATGATCACATTATGGCAACTCTAGAGTTTTATATCAGGTCTACTATACTAGTGACGTAGATATATGCACTTATACCGACTACAACCACTATCCTAAAGTCACATTTATTGCTGCCAATTTACTACTGTCCATTTGTTCTCATACTTGTAATAGGGTGCTCATTCAGTGTATCGAACTGTTCTACTACTCTTGTGAGAAACTACATGTTCAAGTTCAACACGTTATGCCATATTTTTGACTTGTAGAAAGCTTCTACCAGCGTGTTTGTATTTATAGACCAAAATCGAAATAATGAGCTTGTAGAATTATTGCCTACTGCTATTATGATAGACCTAACCATAAAATTGCAGATTTGTCATGATGTAACTGCCCAATTTATACGATCTTATGTGTAAGTTACATCATTGTCTACACTGACACATCGTATCGCAACAATTACCAATATATGATGGAGAACACAATTAGACTGGAGATAGAACAATATATTTTATATGGATAAAGGGGATAAGACAACTGAGCTATGCCGTCCGATGGATTTCAATTCGTTGAATTTTTTCTTCTCGCCTTTCCCGTCATTGAGTTTTTCTCAGCGTTAAATGTCAAATGGCAATTTTCCCATTTTTCTCGTGTTCAACTTTTAGGATTGTGGGGTTTGGGCTTAATGCCACCACAACCTGTTTCTATCTATTTGATTTATAGTTTCAAAGTTGTCGAATATATCTCTTAGTGAAATGCTGATGTCTTCTTTTTGAAGCTAGGTGAGTTTCAGATCGATGCCTTGGAAACTGTTCAAAGAAGTTATACGATGAAAAGTTTGCGAAGCACTTCTTCAAACGAATGGGCTGAGCGAAAACTCGCAGATTGCGAAAAGAGTGACGATAACCATTTTAGGAATGTCGTCTACAGCCATAGGAATTTAGTTAGATGGGGTTAGCCTACTACCAGTAAAGGAAGTTCCTCAAATATATAATTTAGTATTTCTGTTTACTGACCTTAGTTTGCTTGTGACAATGAGAAGGCTACAATGCTGTGCCACGTTTGTACTAATGGTTGGCACTAAAATGTCTGAGACTAAGGAGATCTAGTGAATGGATTCGAGTAAACCTTCGCCAAGTCAAACGCACATGTTGTCTTAAGTGACAATCGAATTCCCATTTACCAACTGTAGGTCGAAGACCGGATCATGTAGAAGTCATTTGTATTAGCAGAAGAGAATGATGACTTATGCGTCGTCCTCGATGAGAATGAGAAGTTTCGTTATCACATCATTGATGTATGACAGATGGCTGTTAACGTGTGCCGAGGGAAAGTTTCTTAAAATCCTTTTCATGATGGAAGGTTTGAGGGTGGGGAAACTGCAGAATTTCCTGAAGTTTCTAGGAGATTTACAATACTTGTTTTAGTACAAACACCAATCAGGATTATCTGCTTCTTGTGGTCTAGAGAGAGATCTTTTTCGTGACGGGCTTCTTCGAGTAGCTTGTGATCCTCTGAGATTATTATCAATATTAAAATAACGAGGACATGCGAAAAAATTTATATTAGGGATCTATTTACTGCTACACTATCCTTATCACAGAAGTCTAAAAATTAGATAAACTAGCCAAAGTAGATAGAAGAATGCAGAGTACGTAATAAATTTCAATTATTGGGAGAGTTTATGAGTTCTCAGAATATCTCACATAGACATCGCCTACATACCTTATCAAAAATTTCGTTTGGAACGTTTAACTTGTGAGCTTATAATGAACAGGTTATAAGGGCGGGATTATCTGGCTGAGGGAGGCTGGGCACATTTTCGTGTTTCCTATCTCCACCTTCCAGAGTTCTTTGTTTCTTAGCAAGTAAGACTCACCCTTGAATAACTTTATAAATTAGGCATGGAAGGTTGATTCTTTCAGTTCAAGCTTCAGTTATGCTTGGTTTTGAAATATAATAACGGCACTATTTCGTTCTGCACTATCTCAAGAGTGTAACTTCTACAACTTTTTTAAAAAGAATTCTGAGGTAGTAATCCGGTACAGAAGGATTAGAGCCCCGCAACAGACTAGTCAAGCTTTTCGTTCGCTCACTATTCCTAACTAAAATTTCTAGTCTGTAACGTTACAACACACATTCGAGTCGTGGACACGTATTTTCAGATTAAATTTGCCAGGCATCTAATATGTAGTCCCACGTACCGAAAGGAATCCATTCCGTTTCATATTTGAGTAAAGACAAATTTGACAACTTGACTCTTCCCTCCCCACACCGGATTCGTTCGTATAAGAAAGTTTAGTACAATATCTGAACATGATGAGTACCTGACGTTTACTCAGTTAACGGACCTAGTAATCATTCTGACCACTTATTTACTAGTTTTATAGTGTTGCTGATATTTAACAGTACCCACGGATTATTTTATAGTGCCGCAGAAGTTGGTTCATTTATATAAATGGACATCCCACGGCTAGTAATGTTGCGGTGATTTGGCAAAGTTGCCATCACAGAGATTAAATGCAGTTACAGATGTGCTTCATATATCTGTGCCAAAATGTTTCCCAAGTTATGTGAATAACTCAGTCCCTGTTAAATGAACTATAAGTTTCTAGTTAGAGTGGACTTAACGCCTTGCTCCACGTACTTAGTTGCTTTGGATCTTTGTGTTGCTCAGATAATCGATCAATCTGTGCATCAGTCTGTTACGGACTTAATATCCGTTAAGCATCATCGATATTAGCTAAGTTATCTAGTATGTGATAAATTCTTTATGTTCTTTGTTTATATTTTTTCTCAATCCTGTCTTTGTTTTCATAACGAAAATTTTACTTCCCCTCTTTTCCCTTTTTCATAATTAATAATAACACTTATTGCCGTCCTACACAATTTTGGTGTCAACCACTCTGTTTTCATGTCGTGTGTTCAGTTTGCAATGTTTCTTTTGTTTTCAACCACATTAGATTTCGCGGTGAAATCCACTTTATTAATAATATTTGCAGAATGAAGTCAGAACACAGGCTAACCACTCCCAAATGTTGTGTCTTACTATTCATATATCGTACAGAGGTGGCTTAGTGGTTAAGGCGTTTGGCTGTTATGTCCCATGTTCGAACCCTACTCCGCGTGCTTTGATTTAGGCGGTTGAGTAGTATCTTTAGCAGTTATTATGGCTCATACTTAAATACTTAGTGAATGAGTTAATTTATTCTATACTTCATTTCGAATAAAGCATTTTGTAAAATTATTGTTGAATTTGAAACGTTTTTATCACCACTTTTTATGGTTTTCTGTTCTTTTAGTCTTCTGCTAAAACCGCCCACCCTTATCGTTTTTTTTCTCACGGATTTCCACCCCACTTTAGTGTAAAACTTAACGACAAAATACTTTTTGTAAACCAGACTATGTTGTTCTTTCGAATTACCACTAAATGCCCTAGTACGACCGAGGGTGAGGAGAGTCAGCTCCTCCTCTCAAAATGCTCTCACATGATCACGCGTATGCATCCACTTCCACGAAAGTCCTACCCATTGCCTCCTCTCACTGGGGTGTTGCTTACGAAATTGAAGGGCAAAAAGCGAATGTCCGGCTATTCAATCGGGTTGATGGATATGAAGGATCCGCCCAGGGGAGTTGGCAAAACCTGAGTCTGAACCAGTGGTGCACATGAACTCCAGGATCCTAGGGGAACAAATGGTGTATGAACCTATTGGTCATTGGCTACCATAGGACTGAATCTCCTTTATGAATCTCATAACGTTTATTATTTTAAACATCGGTACAAGGCACCAAATATATGCGCCACACAAATCAAATAATTCATGTGAGGGCTGGAATACTGCCCGGGCGCACAAATCGACGCAGGGTCTCCTACCGTTGCTTCATTGCCTTGTGGTTTAGACTTCTAAGTCAAAGGCTCGGGGAGTGGTTCCCTAAGAAAACCACCTGCTTCGGTCTGTACGTCCAGGCAGTATTCCAGTCTTTTTACAAATCATTTGATTTGTGTGGCGCATATGTATTTGGTGCCTCCTTGTACAATTGTTTATGTTTGAATAAATAGATTTTCTGTTAGGACTCATATTTTGAGTGTTGAGGGTCAGGTTCTTAAATTTTATTTATGTCCTTTTGTTTAATTAAAGTTTGATCTGAAGTATTGGTCACAACTGGTGACCCATACACGATAACGTTTGCCTTTTCCTTGGCAGTAGTGACTAAATGTGCAGGTTGATATGCTCGGTCCAAAGCTGTGTTTTCTTTCTGGGGTGGTGTTCAGTTATTCTGCTTCTCATACAAAAATAGATGGATCAATTTCAAAACAACCTTTGTGGGTTAATCACGTACGTTATAATCTACTCACTATCGCAACAACATAGTAGTTATAAGCACTCATTTGAAGTTCAATAGGTGTATAGGTTTGGACTATAAATGCTCAGAAACTCACCCCCAGTGTTTTAGAAACACGGTGATAAGCAAAAGTTTATTTTAGACATATACATACTAATCGTGAGTGAGTGAGTCAGTCAGCTACAACGTGGGACCAGGCACATTTATGCATCGGTCCAAGTTGCCATATCTCGTTAGCACAACAAGATGAACACCGGATTCATAGAAATAGTTAATTTAGTGGTGATAGTATATAAAAGATAGGTTGTATAGAAGGATATAGTATAGGAAGGAAGAACGTTATGAAATAATTTTAATCTTAAGGTTTAAGGGAAGATAAAGAGTGTATACACTTACGCCATTGTGATCGATCCTGAGCCATGTCACCTAGAGTCTCCAACCATTGGTTACGATAGTCGCGCTGACCCCAGCCAGGTAGTCTGCATCTGCCAACATGGCTCAGACTAGAAGTTAGTGACTTAAAGCACTGATGCCACGTTTTGGTTTGGCCGCCCCTAACTCTTTTCCAGCCATCCCCAGTACTAGTCATCATAGCGCGTCGTGGTAATCGGTGTTCAGACATATTTATTTTTTTTATTTATTTAAACACATAAATATTGGTACAAGAAAGCACCAGATAAATATGCGCCTCACAAATCTCATTCGATTTGTGTGAGGGCTGTGATACTGCTCAGGTGCCCAGACTGAAGCAGGTGGTTTTCTTAGGGGGCCACACCCGGAGCCTTTGACCTGAATGTCTGATCCACAAGACAGTGGAGCATCGTGAGGAGATGCAGTCCCATGGTAGCCGGTGATCAACGATTGATTCGTACGCCATTTGTTCCCTCAGGATACTGGAGCCCATGTGCACCATTGGTTTGGAATCAGGGTTTTCCAACTCCCCTAGGTGGACCCTCCATATCCACCAACCCGGTTAAAGCGCCGGACATTCGCTTCTCGTCCTCTCAATTTCGTAAACAACACCCCCGCCACGAGAAGGCAGTGATTAGGACTTCCCTGGCAGAGGCTATATATTCGCTGGCCATATGAGAGCATTTGGAGAGGTATAGCGGACTCTCCCCACTCTCGGCCGTACCAGGGCATTTGGGGGCATACGTAACACGTGGCCCAACCATCTCAGTCGATGAAGATTCATCACCTCATCAACTGGTTTACCATCATTTCCTAATACCCTGCGTCTAACCTCACTATTACTTACCCGATGATCCCAGAAGATGCGAGCAATATTTCTAAGGCATTGGTGGTCAAATACTAGTAACTTACAAGTATCTTCTACTCTTAATGGCGATGTTTCACAGCCGTAAATTAGAACAGAACGTACTGTTGCACAGTATACTCGTCCCTTAATTGATAAACGGATATCTCGTCTTCGCCATAGGTGACGTAAGTTAGCAAAAGCCAAACGAGCTTTTTGAATCCGTGCTGAGATTTCGTCAGACACCAACCCATTAGGGCTGGCCAGACTTTCAAGATAAGTGAAGTTGTAGACGTATTCGACTACTTCACTTCCTATCCTTAGTTCAGGTGTTGACGCAGTAGTAGTTTCGGAGCGGAAGTGAAATACCCTAATAAAGCAGCAACAGTGGATAGCAATATAATTGTGGTGTTATCAAGGATACTAGGAGTTAAAGTTCAGTAGTTTGTTAGACGATCTGATTTAAAAATTATTCATTTGTCCGCTCCCAAACCGGGATAGTAAAAAGAGAAGCGAAACGCTTTCCAATCGAACTCTTATGAATCGAAGCACTGAAAATCTTTATGGACAATAGTCCAAAATTATTGGTGTGTGCGAAATCGTGAAATTCTTACGGCGGAATACACTGAGAAGTTGTTCGTGAAGGGCAGCACACAGGTGCATTCCAAATGAAGACCAGTGTCAGATAAGACTGCTTTTTTTCCCCCTTTCTCTTCCGATAATCAGTTGGATTATGAAGACCTCCACATCTCAGAGAAATTACGGGATAAAATGGACAGCTTGGATGCGACTAGACGGTTTGGACTTCACAGATGACCTAGTTCTTCTGTCCCATACACACGAGCAAATGTAGGTCAAGACGACCAGTGTAGCAGATGCCTCTGCATCAGTAGGCCTCAACATACACAAGAGAAAAAGCAACATCCTCAAATATAGCACGGAGAACATCAACCCATTCACACTTCATGGGAAAACTCTAGAAGAGGTGGAAACTCACGTATTTGGACAGCATCATAGATAAACAGGGAGGATCTGATTCAAATGTAAAGGCACGGATCGGCAAAGTAATCATTCCTACTACTGAAGAATATCTGAGACTCGAAACAACTATCTGCAAGCCAATATCAGAATTTTCAGTGGGAACGTCAAGACAGTTCTGTTGTACAAGGTTGATACGTGAAGAACTGCAACCATCATCAAGAACGTAAAAGTATTTATAAACAGTTTTCTACTCCAACTAGACTCGTCTAAAAACTATTTGTAATAACTTACTGTGGCAAAAAACAAAGCAGCTGCCACTCAAGAAAAAAATTAGGAAAATACGCTTTCAGTGGGTAAGACATTGCGGAAATCATCAGACTGTACGGCAAGGCAAGCCCTAACTTGGATTCCTCAAGGCGAAAGAAAAAGAAGCAGATCAAAGAACACTGTTCTGGGAAGGAGAGGGAAACATTAAAAGAATGAGCAGCACTTAGAAACAACTGGAAAGAATTGTTCAGGACAGCTAGGTAGAAAATCGTGGTTGGAGTCGTATACTCAACGAAGGGTAACAGGCGTAAGTAATTGATTAGGTTTCAGTCACTAACCACTCCATAATGGTAACTTAATGAATAAAGAGTCTGGTTTACTATTGTTGGGCTTCAAGTTAAAACTCCCACTTTTTTGGATATGTGTGGTTCCACTAACCTAGAGGAAAACCGCGTCGAAAGCTGAAACGAACTTGTTAGTGATTAGTAAGTAGTGTTGAATGTGCCACTAGTCATGCCAGTTTACAGAGACCATCAAATACCATTGTACAACTAGGGCTAGAGAAATTCTATTCTTCCTCTTGTAATACTCGTTTGGCAACGAGTTTGTAGCCACTGTCAGGTAAGTTCCGCTCTTCTCGTGGAGGAATTGTTGTTTACGAAAGTGTAAGAACAAAAGGCGAGTGTCTGGCACCTAAGCCTGGTCGGTGGACACGGAGGTTCCACGTGGGAGATTCGGAAAGTTCTGATTTCAAAACAGTGGTGCGAATCGATCTCCGGATCCTAAGGGATCGAATGCCCTTTAATTTATCTTTGGTCACCAGCTACTGTAAGGTTGCATCTCCTGGTACTGATCCACTGCTTTGTGTATTAGACCTGTAAGCCAAAGTCTTGGTTAGTGGTTCTGTAAGAAAACCATGCGCTTCAGTTTAGGGATGCGGAGAGTATCCTAGCACATACTGTGGTGTGGTCTACTTATATCCATACAAGTAGAACATGGTGTTGGTCAGACATAGAATGTATTTTCGCAGAAGACCGATGAGGAAAGAACTGAAACAAAGCGCAATCGGTAGGAAAATGCACGAAAAATGAAATTAGAGAAGAAACAGTGAAGATTGAAACTGTTGGTTGTTAATTTGCAAATTAACTGTCCATTGTATGGTTATTAGAATTTATTGAGATAGTCTGTAATGTTTGCTTAAATACATTCAATTGTCCCCAGTCATGTTCTGTTCACTACAATACAAACATGGAGAAAATAATAGTTAAGGAAAACACTCGCTATCTATATAAATGACATTTACAATTTTTTTATTACATGTGAATTTATTTTACACTTCGTCTGACAACATAAGTCTGGGTGTCTTTGGAGAGTTTCAACTCCTATGTTTGCTGTTCATATGAGATCCGTATTTAAAACTATAGAAAGGCGCTAAAAATTTGTTCTGTTGATCCCAAACGTTTACCTTGTGTGCGCCTATTCGGGGACCCTGTAACACTATCCGATTTAGCTGGTGTTGATGTCGTATTAAGCGTCAAAGGAGATTGAACACTAGTTGTTTAGAGCACCTTATACCATTCTGAGCAATCTTTGGCGTCGTTATGTTGTGTAAAATGTCGGGTCGACGGGAAGTCAGCGAGAGCAGTTCTCTATCTGATTATAAAATGTTCTGAGTAGATCTGATTTTGGAATACAAGCGTGCCTAATGACTTAATTCTAGACATTCTTTTATCTTTGGTTTAGTAGATTATGTGTGAACGTTTGTGATCGCATGTCAACTAAACACACCATAGTAAGGGGTGCATATTTAGACACCTATTCTGAGTTTCGAGTCATGTGTTATTCCTCACTATTCAATTTACTCGATCCTTTTGAAGTAAATTTTGTATGTTTGGTTTTCCGGTGTGAATGACGTTCTTGCTCAGACTCAATTACTTTTTATCTTGTGTTGGTGAACGTTTCGACAACTTTAAGGGATAACTATTAATACTAGGTTCTTTGTTATCTGTGAGCACAAATGTTATTATTAAAAGTTCATGCTCATAACTCGTTTCTGTCTCGCATACTGTTTGTGAATTTTGATATATTTATCCTCATATACATGTACCTCAACAAATCATCGTAATTTAAATACTGTCAGTTGGAATTCGGAATAAACTTAATGGTTACCTGTTATCCGTGTTTGATTTTCAGTCACAAACATTTCAAAGTATGCCTCTATTTGGTAAGCCAAAAAGCCCTCGTGAATTAATCCAAACTGTTAATGAGAACATAATCGTAAGTCTGAGCGTATTGTTTACGAAATTTTCAAGATTTTAAGTAACTGTGCCAAAACCGATAAAGAGCGGAAAAAAGCTGTTGAAGATATAGCAAGGGCTTTGACTGCTCTTCGGGAGCTGCTGACGGATAAGTCAGATACTCGATTGACTGGCAAAGAACGTGATTCAGAATTATCGAACTCTGAACGAGCACGAATTAATGAAATCATAACAGATGTAACTCATGAAATCATCAACCTCAATCTTTTGCCGCTTCTTGTAAACAATTTGGATGTCATCGAGTTTGAGGTATATGCTCTTTTGTTAGGCATGTTTCATTTATTTAGAGTTCTAAACATATCGTTGATCTTTTCGGCCATATTATGAGGCGACAGGTAGGATCTTATAATCCTGCAGCTCAATATCTTTTGGCTAACTCTCAAATTTTAATATCTATTCTTCAAGGATACTCCAAACCTGACACTGCTATACACTATGGTGCAGTAAGTCTCATAGCTAGATTCTTAAAATGTTGATTTACAAATTATATCTATTCCTAACAAAGTTTTTATGAGATCATATTTCAATTCTGAAACTTTCAGGTTTAATTGAATATTTTAGTATTGTACTGGCTGGTATCAGTACGCTTGTTAGGACAAATTACACAGTACTATAAATGTAGAAAAATTAAGGGAAATATCAGTTCTCCATTATTCGATGATTGTTAATTTCCTATCACATAATGGTTCAAACAAAGTATCTACAGTTTAAGAGTTTTTGGAATTTATTAGAAATCATAATGTGGATTGATATTATTAACCCTTACAAACTAAAAATAAGACTTTGGGTTATTCGTGCTTGTTTGAAATGCTTGAATTCTACCAAAACAAAACAGTTTAACTTCTCATCACTCTCTAAGTAGATGGTGAGTTAATAGACATGTAATTCAGCAAACTGAATTCCGTTTTACATCACTGCTGGTACTAATGATACTACTTAGCTTTCTGACTTTCAGTAAATGCTACAAAACACCTTAGACCTAGTTTAGATTTGATCCACTGCCTCTTGAATAGTGTAGTGCATTAATTTATCCACTCCTCTTTCAACTTATCATAAGTTCATACTCCAACGCATCTACAAAGATTGGAAGTCAGGTACTATTAAAAGTACCGATTCGTATATTACATGATACTCAGCCTAATACGCAGATCTGTATGTGTTCACGAAGCTGCATATCTTGGCACATGCATCTAACTACCTCATTGATTTGCATTGACAGGTAAAGGCTCTTTCACGCGAAAGGTAAACACTGCTATCCAGCAGACGGAAAAACGTTAACATCTGACTCACTTAAGCAAACAAAAATGTGTATCGGTCTAAGTTTATATCGAAACACGAGCAAAAGTCAACGCATGAAAGGAAGAGATAAAGTTGATGATAATAACAACATCGGTGAGTTAAAAGTTCAAAAATAATGTCCAAAAACGAACGGAGTTGAGCGATGGGACGTAAAGATTTAAAATCCTCAAAATTTAGTACAAGATACCGAATGTATACTCCAGTTCAATGGTAATCAATTTCAAGCCATGTTACATAAATTGACGATTTATACTACAAAACAGGCTCACTGCTGTATATATTGAAGCTATCGTAGTAATCAAATGATGTCTGACAATAGATTTCTATTTAATGGAATTCGAGGTAGGACTTGTGATAAATACATGTTGGTCCACGTTGCCACATTTTATGACACAGCTAGAGGTAATTAACAAAATGAGAAGCAAGGGAAGAGAAATAATATCGATTTCGGCGGAGTTCTAAGCACGAGAAATGTAGTTCTGAGGAAATTAGTATCATCAAATAGCGAATAATTGGCGTGTTACTAAAATTAGTATTTAATAAAGATAGGAAATGAATGCAACTGCCCTAATCAGACCCTATATTTTACAGCGCATCAATATCATCATTTCTTTTGTATTCTAAGCATGATTTTGTTTCTCGTTGTTATTTTGCTTTTAATTCCCTTTATGTTATTCTTGGTTGATCTTTTACTGTATATTCTAAAAATAAGTATATCTGTTCATTTTTGATAAACTGTCCGAAGGACCCTATATTATATAAGAAACTGAATAAATTTCGATAATAAGAGAACCAAAATAGCCTTCTATTTAACTACCAATAAATATATACCTTTTTCTCACTTACCAACTATAATGTCTATTTCTTATCCATAATACTTGGCTATGTTTGTCTCCCTAAAAAGCAACATATTTTGTGTATATTTGAGGATTTCTGTAGCTAAATAGACTCCTCGAGACAAAGCGAATTCGCCTTTGTAAAAATCGTAGATTGTTCACTTTAGCAAAATTTACTTTTTCTCAGTTGTACCTAGGAAACAGGTTATATGAAATTCTTGGGAGAACTGCGGAATTTGTTGTTGACAGTAGTCTAACATGTGCACCTTTGTTACAGTAATTATGTTAAGAATCAGAAGAAACAAGAATAGTATGTATTCAACATTAGAGTTATGCTACAAATAGAGGCATAATAGATATCATGTAGCCAGAAGAGGGATTCTGATTTTTTTGAAAAATATCGTGGAAATCAGCGTTAGGTTTACTTATTGACTTCTGTCATAAGCCACTTTTAATAACTTAAGCCATTAATTTGCATGATTCTTGGGACTTAACCCATAGAGTTTTGAAGCAACGGGTACTAATCTAATACAACTACCCTTCCTGCAACATTGTGTAATAAAGAAGCTTCTCTTTTTTCCACTGAGCTCGTACGTTTGAAAAATGATACGTGACATCGAGTGTTCTGGGAAGAAATGTTTGAAACGCTTAGGCACAGGTTAGCCATGCACATCAGTGTTGTGTCGTGATAAAATCTGTGGAAAATTATTTATTCGTTACATTAGTGTTGATATTTAGCTGATTTAATAAGTACGAGTTAATGTACTTGAGGTTAAACACGTTTGTAGGTTAATGATACTCACAAGTCGCTCAAAATTAAGTAGGTGATGCTGGCTAGAGCCTACGACAGAGAAGTTATAGGCGATTAAATGAAATCTTATTTGTTTTTCTTAATTTTATCTCGAAATCGATATATTTATCGATTTGTATATTTTCATGATCCGTTGATATTATGTATTCAATTTGTCTCTTTTATCCTTTTGCATTTAACTGCTATTTGTTCCTTGGTAGTTTTTGATTTTAATTAATAGATAATGTTTAAAATACTCATGTTTATAAAAACATAGATTTTTAAAAATATTTAGTATCCGTTTCATGTTTTTGTTTCATGATAAATCGTGTGTTCATACTTCAGGTATAATTCCTCTGTTTTTTTCTTTGTAACTAGATGCTTCGGGATGCATGCCGACATGAATCTTTAGCCAAAGTTGTTCTTCGTTCACCAGAATTTTATCAGTTATTTGAACACGTACAAGGCACAGCATTTGATGTGAGCTCAGATGCTTTCGCTACATTGAAAGATTTGCTTACTCGTCATAAGGCGCTTGTAGCAGATTTTCTAACAGTTAATTATGATGTCTTTTTCGACCATTATATGCATATGATTTTATCAGATAATTACGTCACAAAAAGGCAAGCATTAAAGGTTAGTTCTCTTTATTCAGGGTAAATTATGATTCTGTATTTTCCCTTTTTTATCCTCCCTGTTTGCTTTGTTGATCTTCCCCCTTGTTTTACTAGTAAATGTGACCATTTGAGATTGAAGTCTTTTGTGACAGATTAAACGTTGTCTTGTTCAGTCAATTATATATAGGAAAAAATTCATATCCTTAGGATATTTTTGCGATGTATAGAATAGATGAAATATGGTTAGCAGTGGAATCCAGGACTCACGTTTCGTCCCATTTAGGACTCGTCAACTGGATACACATGCATTCACAGTTGATGTTCACCCGGGACTGAAACCCTGTATCTCACTATACAAACGCTAACATGTTATCCATTTAGCTATTGAGTTCAGATATTCACTCACTTGTGCAATTCGTATGGGTTTTAATTCAACTTGAAATGGTTTATATTATTCCTTTGATATTTTGACTGAAATTTGATCCCTCATGGTTGGCATATGTGCATTCTCTGCAGACTATCTTAATATATCCATTATGAATTAAAGCTAGTTATTTTTTCATCACTTCACTTCATTAGAATTGACCGGAATCAAAACAAGAATGTGTGGAAACAAGATACATTTCAAAAATACCGGAACGTAGAAAGTTCATAATAAACTTATGGTAGCTTCTCAATCCGATCTTTATTACTGATTGGTTGGAAATAAGCTAATGAATTAACACACCTAAATTTAATAAACCAATCATCCCATTTCTATCCTGCTGACAATACTTAAATGTTTTAAACATGGTTTTCTATATTTAATTTCTTATAATTCCATTTTATCAATTTGTCCAAGTCATTGGTATAGAACAGTCTCATTCTACTATATACTTTTTAAATTTTGCATTTGATACTCTGAGGTCCGATTCAGTGTGAATAAATTTTCTGAGAAGTCGACAAGTTTTAAGGAAGCCTTGGGGCCTTTTAACCTTAGCTGAAGAAGTGATGTATAAATTGAAAGCTTAAATCGACATGCCGAAACTATTCTGCCAGCTTGTTTTATTCAAAGTAATTTTAGTAATTGTGTAGCGGATGTTACAAGTAGTATGTAGCGGGACGTGGCGTCAAAGTTACAACAGTCATCAGACGGAGAGAAGATCAATACAGCGAATATATGGTGTAGTCAGAACAGTTGGTGACCAGACGAGAAGACAGTTTAGGTTGCATAATACACCAAACGATGCGAATGTATAATTGAAGGCTATGCAAATTTATTACGTAAACATTAACTTCTTACAATAAATATAGATTCCTTCTGCCTATTGCCTTCTTTTACAATTTTAACTTAATTTTTAGTGCAAAATATTGGCCATATTTTATATGTTGCTTCTCTCTTGTCACTTTTAACTGTAAATGTGTAATGCTTGATTGAATCAAATACACTCGTTAAGTCGTGAAATCATGATTTTAATTTGGTGAAAAGATCTCATTTTGATTATTTCACTCACAGAACTTTACTTTCTCATCCTGATATATATTTACAAAGACCATCTACAGTAACGACGGTCAGTCGAGAATAGCAATGAAAATAAATCATTAAACGTATAAAATATGGTATTTCCTTTTAGACGTTCAATCAAAAACTGACTAAGAATGTTTTCAAAACCAGATGAAGAATACAATCTGAGAAAATTTTGATATTTTCCCTCAACATATGCTTCCACTTACATTTTTGACTCATACCCCCTTAACAACAATAATATCGTCTCTCAATTTCCTGAAACTAATTATTTTGAAAGCTCATATGCAAGCCATAACTCATAGAAAACTAACTATTCCTTTTCTATTTGAAATTTTATGTTGTTCATGTTTAATTGTGAAACTCAAGTATTTCCGTTTTTTTTTGAATGATCTTATTCTCAGTTGTTAGGAGAGCTTTTACTTGATCGGCATAACATCTCAATAATGACCAAGTATATTGCAGATCCGGAAAACCTCAAAGTCATTATGAATATGTTGAAAAGTAAAGAAAAGCAAATTGCTTTTGAAGCGTTTCATTGTTTTAAGGTTAGTTTAACTTGAAAGAATTAAAAAGTATATGTTTTTCATAAATTTATTTTAGGTCGATAGGTATTTTTTACTAAATTAATTCACTTACAACTTTATGGACTCATTAATAGATATCATGTAAATAAATGAATATTTATGCAAAATAGTTTTAGTGGTTGCTCTTCCAGCCTAACATAACCTACGAATTGTTCGTAAATCACTTTCTTGCTTTAGTGGTCAGTTTGTAATAAAAAAGTAAGATAGCACAACTTTGAGGATTTTAAGGTATCACCGGTGAAACACAGAATTTTATAAAGGCTGTTTAACTGTATGAAGTGTGACAAATGTACACTGATGAACGAAGCCAGCGTTTTATATATTTTAGTTCGAGATTTCACCATATATATAATTATCTGTACGGTAAAAAATTCAAAGTAATTAGGAATTCAATAAATTCAAGTGAAATAATAGTTAGTTTTATTACGTTAAAAACTGATTGCTGTATTCTGTTAAGGGGTCTTAAAATATTCCTTGTCAAAGTCTCCACGGTTTTTACAATTGATTGGTCAGTGTGTGGTGATCAACTTCTTGTGTATCAGATCCTTCTTAGTGCAGCTCGAATCCTATCAAACAAGTTGCAGTGTGATCGCTAGTCTAAATGACCCAGCGTCGCGTGCATTATGTTCAGATGAGATGGCGTTTGAAGGTAGTCTACAGGAAAACCAGGACCTAGGTTTCGGGCTATTCGAGACTCATCAGCAAGGTGTAATTGTATTCTTCAGGGAAGTGATATAAATACATTCGCGTTCTACAGCCCGAATAGTTCAGTGTTAACGTCTCTGACTGTGAAGCTGGGTCACATGGGGATCGAACCCATCAATGAACATCACTCCTCGCAAGATTACAGGTACATCTTGCTGACGAGTCCCAAGTAGCACGAAACCTAGGTCCAGGGTTTCTTGTCGACTACCTCCAACCACCATCTTAAATTTCTAGAGGTCCAGAAAACGTTTTGTCCAATTAGCGTTAGATAGAAGCTTCTCATAGGTAACTCACCGTTAGTTATTTAGTTATAAATGCAAACTTTATACCTATCAAAGTTTTAGACGTTGAGCAAGTGTTATTAGTTAGGTTAAGAACAATTTATTTTGCTCAGTGTGTGTTGCATATGCTCATACATGATCTCTCATTTACATTAAGCACTATAACTACTAAACTACTTTAGTTTCTGATCATGAAAAAGTCGTATTTCCTATATAATATTTTTGAAATAATTAAGCGCTGCGTGAAAATCATACCAGCATATTGATTACAGCGTTGTAGTTATTCCGTTCTGTTTCATGCAAATGGTTCGACTTATTTTAATATTCTAATTTCTGCTTACATAACTCGTATTGAAAACCGAAACGAAAAAGTCTTGTGATTTTTTTTCACAGTGTTTTCATGGATAACTGATGAGCTCCCATGTTTTAAACAAGTTCATTGATATTGTCATCAGAAGTATTAATCTCAAATATTAATTATGCCGTATTATGTTGCTACATTATTTTTAACCTATGTTAATCAACAATACTCATTAGATAAAGCTTATGTTGAATATGATCAGTTATGTGGATTTTCCAATTGGTTAAATAATTTACTATGGAAAGTAAATGAAATATTTCAGATAGTATTTTACGACTTCTGACAATCTATTGGTGTTGTGAATATGTGTCACTGATGAGTTTACAATTGCACTAAACGTAGGTCCCAAATTTCCTACCAATTGAATCCGACGATTAGGCGTTGACCACTGTAAGTTATTTTATTGATTAGTTTTGCCCAGTAGCCATGTTGACCAATAAACGTCGATTACTACGTATAAGCATGGAAAACTAGACGATATACTGGTATCTATTTTGTAAGACGGTAGTTTGTTTGAAAGAGTGAATAATTTTACGTAGGATCATAATTAAGTTCATGCGTCTACTTGAAAAGCAATAATTTATCAATGATATCAGCAGATAAATCTGTTATTTATTCATTATTTGAACCAACAACAATAATCACTGTGAATAATTTTATCTGGATGCAAGATTTATTTCTCTGTTTTATCGCTTTTCTCGTCTCAATGTAGACTTTCACAAAGTTGCCTTCCACCTTTCAGTCTACGATGGAATAATGATGTGTACTGTTAAATAGGTTTATCGTGTGATATTATTTTAAAAATTATCCTTCTTGAATCTTCAATGTTTGTCAAGATTTCACATGTTCCTATTTTTCTGTTCATTCTTTTGAAAAGTACATCTACACATGAGTGGATAGTTGGATTGCATGTCACTTATGTTTGTAATATAGAATCTTTTATTATTCGATTGCGTGTCTTCATGTGAATTAACAGAAAGTATGTAGGTGCATGTCCAACTTTACATATTGAATAACTTAAAGTGTAATAAGTGATTTAGTTTTTCTAAGATCCTGTTTATTACACCCAAATAAGATCACTAATAAAATAATGATATATTTGTAAGTGGAGATCAGAATTTCTTACGTTTTCTAGGTTAGTTATATTTTTGGTACAATTCATGATTCTCAACACGAAGTATTTCAACTAGTGTACGTTTCTTACTTCTTGATCGATTTTAATGATCAATATTGAGTGATTTCCAGTCAGTAGTTAGCAGTCCATTTGATGGATATCTACATAAGGTGCACTCTTTTCGCTGCGTATTGCAGGTAACCATGATTATTCTGATTGGGCCTTTTGTAGCTTGTAGAATGATGGGTTGTAGACTTTTCATAAACGCACCTGAATAGGTTATATGATTAATAGCCATAGCGATGTATTAAAGCAAACAAAATTAGATAACTTGTTGAAATATCTAGATGGCAGGAGCATGTAGCACAGATGTTCAAGTAGGCCGCCATTGATAATAACTGAATTAAATTGAGACAATTTTATTTATTAAGGAGAAACAAGGTAAAACATTGAGCTTAAGGAAAACCAAAATACATTTGGTTATTTTATTAACGTCGTTTTTGGTTCGGGTGGTTTTTTATGTGATATCACCGTATGTATACTGGTGGGTGTGAAAAATATAAACGGTCAAAGTGGGATGGATAGTAAAGTTTTCTTTTCCATTGAGGAATTTAAGATTATGTGAAACGCCTCAGCTACTGGTCTTTCATTATAATTGGATAAACCTTTCTCAAGTATTTTATGTTTTTATATTGATTTTAGTGTGATTGAATGCAGTATATACTGTTATTGTTTATTCGACTTGTAGATTTCCCCGTTCTACGGTATTATCAGGTCTTTTAATATAACTAGGGTGTTCCTTGGCATTAGTCGAAATTTCACCACACGACTCTTCAACGTAGAACGCATCATAGTCGACACAAACTAATCTGTAGACACAATTCTGTATACATCTGGAAAAGAGAAGTTTGTGTAAAGATAATTTAACATAAAACTAATTCAACAGAAATTCACAGATCCATGTTCCGATTAATGGGAAACATTTTTTGGATTATAATTTACCACGTCGTAGAAACTTCCCTTAGAGCACTACAAATTATTTTTTAATTACACATTTTCCCGTGTTTTTCCTATTGGTCGCAACGTTTTGTTCCTTTTACCCAATACTATTTTCATCTTATATATTGCAACAACTTTATATAGAACTGGTTTAAAAACAGATAAAACACTAATATTGACAACTATTGTCAAAAAACCTTACTAATTAGTAATGTATGGTATAATTGATTCCATCGATTAAGTGAAAATAATGAAATTTTTCGGTTATCATAACTGAGTTTTTATTTCTATACTTCCATTGGATAATTTTTAGTTTTTATCTTTATAGGTGTTTGTTGCAAATCCAAACAAGCCACCAGCTGTTCATATGATTCTATTTCGTAATCAGGAAAAATTACTATCCTTTCTGACAGATTTTCAAACTGAGCGTACAGATGATGGTCAATTCAATGATGAAAAACAGTATTTGATCAAACAAATCAGAGAATTAAAACCAGTGCCTATTTCGTCTAATCCAAATCCCACCTAATTGAGCTCAATTCCGCGTTCTACCTAATAGAAATTTTTGGTCTTATTTCTTGTCTTTATTTAATGTGTCAGATTTGTATAAAATATGGTCTACGCCGTACATTCTTGAATTATAATATGTGGTCAGTACTCGTTCTTAGATCCTCTGACGCGCTTTGTGTAATGATGGATAAATATTCTGTCAGTAATTATCTTTATGTTGCAAAGACTTGAATATTTTTGAGAAAACTGTATTATTTACCATAAGCCATTTTCATGTATTATCCCATAACTTTACTGACTGGAGAGGAGTAATTTTTAATGCTTCTGTTTGGTGATATTTCTCATGTTGTATACTACACTTGTTACAGTTATTACCATCATACATTGTTAATCCGAGTTATTGGCTATAAATAATTTTACAACTCTTTCCTCATACAATTTTCTGTTTTTTGCATACAAATTTTTTCTTTATTTCATTCACTCGAATCATTTATTTTAGTTGTTCATTTGGATTAATGAGGAATATTTTTTATCTGCAATATATTAATTGGACAAATTAGCTGTATTTTACAACTTTTTTTGTACAACTCTCAAATTTTGTAGAATATAGCATTGAATGTGTATATATACTTCTTTAGACGTCCACTTGTCTTTCCATGATAGTTCTGTGTAGTTAAGTCCTGCATATTCATTCAGCCTGTTGGTTTTTCCCGTTTTCTTTTCCACTTTTCCTGCTAGATTTTCTGCATATTAAAGACTATTAGTTGCGGAAGTGTCAGAGAAATTGGATTTCTTTTTTCGTAGTCTATGTAGAGTATTTTTTGTTGAACTAATAAAAATGTTTTTGATGTAAAAAATCATTATTCACTTACTATTTAACCTTTTTTGATAGTATGTAGTAATAAAAGAGTAATTGAATACTGTTCTCTCCTAAACTGTTTCTTCCTCCGATACGTATTTCTTTACATTACAGTACATTCAATAATTCTGAATCCCTATTTTCCTATCTATGATTTTCTTTTTACTGTTAATATTATGATTGTAGCAATTGTGGATGCGTATAATTCTTGTTGAGAATCCTCGCCTGGTCTTTAGTTATTATTCAGAATTCTACTTTACTCTTGTGCACATATTTACTAACGGGAACGTATAGATTGAATAATCGGTGTTCTACTATGTTAGATTATTTCTTATTACTATACCCTACATCATCTTACAATTTAAACCAAGCAGAATAGTTAATCAATGCTGATTTATCTAACAGTGTGATTAACAGTGAATTTAATCATGGGATGTCTCCATATTTTAATTGTTCATTTTTATATAGTTTAGGTTGTGTATTGCTTTATAAAGACCTTAGGTTTATAAGAGTTTTGGTCATTTTTAGTATATAACTGGTTACTTTGCATCGTACATACCATATTAAATTAAATTTTGGAGATTAAGATAAAGTTATGGTGTTAAGAACCAGTGTGAGTTGCAACTGCGTATTGGCGCAGCTGCTATATTCAGTCACAACTTTTGTGTAAGCAACATAAATATTTTGAAATAGTTAAAATTATAAGCAAACAAACGTTTTGGAAGCTCATTATTGACTAATTAGCTGTATGTAGTTAAGCTATAAACTGAAAAAGGTAATATGAAGCTAGGTCACTTGTTATCTACCGTAACTGACTATTTACAATGTATTATATTATAGAAATTCATGCAATCAATGCTGCTTTAATTACTGGTCTCACTTTTGATTAAAGCAAAACAACGATACTATGAATTTCTTTTTGTCATAGTCTAATTGTATCGTAATGTACCAAACTGAGAATCTCTTTATTCATAATTTTAGCGTTGGAAAAAAACATTTTCAAGAATTCAAACTAATAGTATGCTGTAGGGTTTTTTGAAATTCGAATACATACTCTGCCGTTTTATTTATCACTTCCCCACTTTAATGACTAAAGAATGAAGCTAATTGACACCTAAAGACATATATTTCGAAGAGATAATTTTAGAAAACACTTCTATCTAGCGAAGCTATGCATCATCAAAGGATTTAATGTTAGTTTATGATGTGTGTGTTATTTCTCAATCATGTAGCACAATATAGAAACATGATCACCGGTTTCACATCCTTTCCAAAGTATCGTCACTTCATGAATCAGCTTTTACCGCGTTCTGTTTAGTTCTACAGATTGTCTATGACTGGATTCACACACTACATTTGTTTATCAATGTGAACTGATATCTATGTTTAGAGTAGACTCGTAATTTCCATTGTTTGTTATCAGACTGATTAGTTGACCAACATTTGAAGCGCTTTTTTATGAATCAGTACATTTATTTGTTATTCTATGTATTTTTCTGGTAAGCTGTTATTTCATTGCTTTTCACGTATTTGTATTTCTGCTGAGAACACAAGAAAATACATATTCAAATTACATTAGCATTTTTACACCCTAAACTTGTAAATCCTTACAAATAAGTTAGACCTTAATAAACCAAATCTACCATACTTGACATTTTATCGCGTAAAACTTTAGTTTCGTTTGTGGTTAAGGAGTTATTTAATTATCAAGACATGTTAATAGATAGCTTTTTTATTTATATATTTTTGTTTTGTAAATGCGGAACATTTTCATTGTCCATTCAGTAATTAATTTGCATTTAGGAGTTAATATCATCGATGAATAGATACATAAACGAGATTTAAATCCTTTAATTCATATGAAGACAATTCATCACACTTCGTTGAACTCATACTTATTCATGATATAAATAAGCTCGTTTGGCTTCATAGTCCTATCTTCATTACATATTCCTCCTACAGATCTTATTCACTAGTTTTTGATTTGTTAGTACTGTCTTTGATTAGTGGGCGATATATTTTATGCTAATAATCATTTCAAGCTTATTGCCAATGTATTTTAAAAACAAACAAGTGAGCTATTAATAGTTTGTGAACAAGTTACGTGAAATTAATTTCTATCCATCAGGTGTTCAGAATATATCACGGTAATGTACTTGCGTACTTAAAGCATTTCAAACCATTGATAATAGGTGATCTGATTTTATTATTCAATTATACTTGGGTTTGACCATTGCATATATTTGGAGTTAGGTTGATAATTGTCTTAAGCTCACTGAGATTGCTTCGTGATGATTAATTAACTATTGCAGCTCACTTCCTGCGTGTACATTTATATATCCAACTTCTAGATACACTTAAAGTATGTCAGCAGGGCTAGTTGTGCTCCTCGATAGACGGGATTGAGATTCAAGAGCAAACCAATTGTTGTCGCATGCCTGACTAGGTCAGGGGTCCGCTTGATGAAATTGCTGAATGTCAGGTAAACAATATGCTGACAGAATTTTAGAAGTGACAAACTTTCACAGTGCAAATGCTTGTTGAAAAGTGAAATGGGTCGATCATTGATGTCTTGTCTAATCTATAAAGAGAATCATTAATTCCTGTTTCATTCAGTATTAATGATATACCTAAGATTACAACTTTTCTAACGTATGTTTCAAGACACTCATCATGGGTTGAATTATTAATCATTCAAGATCAACAAGTTGTTGGGTTTTCCGACCATGGCCACACGGTTCTGTTTACATTACTGAGTTTAATTAGCTGATCGCAACCCTCTTATTTTAAAATGTTTGAGTTAACGTTTAAGGGGGCTTTTTTTAAGTCACAAGGTGTTTAAATTACCAACAGCTTGTAATTGTATGGAAGTTTTCTCAGTCACCAACCATCCTACTTTTTCACATTTCACGACGCTTCTTTAAGGTTGAATATAGCCTTCATGTAAAGGGACGTACTGACAACAACACATTAAGGGATAACAGTGTTCCGAATCCAGACTAAGTAAATATTTGGTCCTCACGTCTACGGTCAGTTCTAAAGGCTACCTGTTTTTTATGGGTTTACTGAGCTTAAGCATAGGATTGTGTGATCATGCGAATCAAGGTTTTATAAGTTGTTAGTCGATTTAATTCATTGCTATCATAAGAGAATGTATCTTTCTCTCATAAGGAACCGATTTGCTATTTAGGATTGCCGAATAGATTTGTATTCATCTAAACGCCAACTAGTTTTTGTTAGCGTGGCTACTAAATCTAGATCATTGGAATTTATTCAATAGTGTTCAAAGCTCATCGGCATGAGTGTGTCTATTGGTTTGATAAGAGTTGCTAGAATCCACTAGCATTTCTTAGATTATAAAAGTTATGTGATTTAATGATAGAAATCCATATAAGTATGCCAATGAACCAGACATTCATTTGTTTATGTTCTAATTTCAGTGTAATAAATTTGTTGGAACCTAAAACAAACGGATCAACAACTGGTTTGTTTTAACAACTCCCCCCTTCATTATTTTTCTAAACAATTCGACAAGTCAACAGTGCTATAGGACCATGAATAATGTAGTTTAGAGTGTAGCATAGATCAGGAAATACATATTAGTTTATGACGCCTTCGCTATGTAAAGGGATCAGGATTATATGAATGTATCTTATTTGAGTTTGCCTATTATGATTTTACAGTTGTGTTTTGCGTACGAAAGGTAACAAAGCTGTGTTGTCCTTTCCACTTTAGACAATTAAGTTTGTGAAATATCTCATCAAGTAACGGATCATTTACCAAATTTTCTATCTAGGATTTATATTTTGAAATCCACTTACTACTCGAAATAACCAGAGAACAAATGCAGTTTTTATTAAGATGATGCTCCGGTCAGTGTTAGACCATCATGTAAAACCTGAAGTCACTGGACGGAATTTTCATCTTAGTATGGGACACCTCAGTCCACGATAGTGCGCGACCATCTTCCATTGTCTCCGTTGGGTAACTACCTCACACCCGACACGATCGCCTATTATCATTGATTGGTTAAAGCTAGACATCAATACCGCTGAACGCCAGTTCAGTTGCCTAGAGGTTAAGCGTCCTGGGTTCGAGTCCCGCGTGCGGAATTGAGGGTATAAACTGCTGGAGAGTCCTATACAAGGACGAAATAGCCG